TACCGTAATATATCAATAGAAATATATATACATACAGGGTGGCCCATCGAAAACGTTCCGCAAGGCATAACGGGCAGGGTAATCTTTTTGCAGAAAATTCAAAAACACGTCAATTTTGTTTGTGAGGGGGGCAACTTTTGCCCCAAAAATGATTGCAAAATCTTCAACCCTTTCAGCGGGGGTGTCATCCCCCAATTTTTTTCAAAGGGGAAGGGGGGTCAAGTGGTACCGCAATGAAAAGGGCTTTCTATTCTCTATACTTTCCGGCTTCGTTTTTGAAAATCGGTCGAGTCATTGAGAAAATATGAAGGATTGAAATTTGAAAAGTTTATTTAAACATTTATCAGGGTAAATGATAAGGATAAATTCCTTCGACCAATTTGAGTTTTTTTCTTGTTATTTCTAGATGTTTACGCATTTTTTCACTTGCCACAAGGTTGAACGATCAGGTGCGGTAATTGCTAGATAGCTGTTCTGTGACTTATGCGTTGAAGTTCTTCTGAATATCGTTAAATTTTTTAACAATTATTATGGTATACTCACTGGCAGAAAAAGTGGAAATAATCGAACTTTATTTTAAAAATAATGAATGTGGCAATCGGGTTGCGCAGATATTCAATGAACGCCATCTTGACAACCACCTTTATGGCAAAATTGTTCGCGAGTTAGTAGCAAAATTTCGCGAAACTGGTTCCGTTATGCATAAAAAGAGGCAGAGGGAAAATCCTGTAGTAAATGAAGCTATGGAGGTATTCGTATTGGGCCAAGTTGCCATGGAGAGTACGCTGAGTACAAGAAAATTAGCCAATGACACCGGCGTGAATCGTACAAGTGTCCAAAGGATATTAAAAAAAGCAAGTTCCACCCGTACAAAATTCAGTTGGTACAAGAACTCAACGAAGACGATTTTGATCGTCGCTTGCAATTTTGTGAAACTATGAGTGAACGAGTGGCGAATATAATAATTTCCTATTTAATGTGTGTTTTTTGGATGAGTGTACTTTCTTTTTTTACGGTGTAGTTAATCGGCACAACTATCGGTACTGGGCTGAAGACAACCCCAGGGTTTTTCACTAGGTGCACACACAAAACCCTCAGAAATTGAACGTGTGGGCTGGCATTTTTGTAAATTCTATTTTGGGTCAGTTTAACGATATTGAGAAGAACTTCAACGCACAAGTCACAGAACAGCTATCTAGCAACTACCGCACCTGATCGTTCAACCTTGTGGCAAGTGAAAAAATACATAAACATTTAGAAATAACAAGAAAAAACCTCAGATTGGTCGAAGGAATTTGTCCTTATCATTTACTCTGATAAATGTTTAAATAAACTTTTCAAATTTCAATCCTTTATATTTCCTCAATTACTCTACCGATTTTCAAAACCGAGGCGGGGAAATATAGAGAATAGAAAGCTCTTTTCATTACAGCGCCACTTGATCCCCCTTCCCATTTGAAAAAAGTGGGGGGACGACACCCCCGCTCAGAGGGTTGAAGATGTCACAATCATTTTTGGGGCAAAAGTTGTCCCCCTCACAAACAAAATTGACGTGTTTTAGGATTTTTTGAAAAAAAGAATACCCTAGCCGTTATGCCTTGCGGAACGTTTTCGATGGGTTACACTGTATGTATTATTGCAAAGGAAATTTCCCGCAATTTGTCCTGGACGCTGTAGGATATTTTCTCCGATTTTCTCACACTTTCTTACTTCGTTTAAATTTCCATTCCAAAGAAAAAGATAATACCTGTGACTTTTTTCTGCAGTGATGCATGACTATTAGAATCAATGATGAACATAATGACAAGAATATCACAATAACATAAGAGATACCTTGCACCCTGTTAAGTACTTCTACCATACGTTAACCTTTTATACAGGGTCGTGCATTTAGCAGCCGATCAGGGAAGCAAGGTGAGTTAATTAGATGCAGAAAAGTGTGCATTTAAATAATCTAACAATTTAAACGTAGGTACCATAAGAAAATGGGAGTTGGTGATTTTAGCTACTTCGGCTTGTATAAATCGGTAGATTATGTATTTATAATTGATATTTTTGAAAATTAATTTTAAACCAATGTGTGTGGTGAATTAGTGTTTTGTTTTGCACATTTATGTTCACTTCACTTCAATTAAAAAAAGTTAATAAGTTTTTTTTTGAAAAACCAAGACTTACGTGTTCATGAAATCTTACAGTACTACAAAGAAATTTTCTTTCCATTCCTATACCTATTATAATTTTAATAAAATTTTCTCCATTTCACACTTGTTAATTTAAAATTTTACGCTTCAAAAGTTTTCATCATTTTTTGATACAAAAAAACTGTCAAATTTCGTAGAATAATTATTTCTATTGATTACTTTATATTTATATGAAATAAATTTTTAATTTTGATAAATCTCAGCAAACTGGTAATAAACAGTAATAACAGTTGAGTATATTTTTTGATATACACGGGATTTAAATAATTTAATTCAATTTTTTTAAAAGAAATTTTGATGGTAAAAGTTACTATAAAGGCCGACATATTTTAATTAAAAACGTGTCGATATATTAGTGATCTGCATATGGGTTAACACTGGAATATATTTCTAAAAAAAAACATATGCGCCATAGGGTTTTTTCTATTGTTTGCAAAATTGTGTAGACTGTCTTATGTCGATTAAAAGTTGCCTCTCGATATTTTGTCGATTTCGGTCTCCTTGATGAGATAAACATAATTTTATTAATTTGCCTTAATCCAAGTCTAACAGCAACCATTATAAAATGTGTTAATGTCATTTATTGCCAAAAGTGGTTAAATAAGTAAATAAGTAAAAGTTGTCAGTGATTCCTCATTAAAAAATATGAAGAAAACTTCATATAATAAACATGTGTGCGGAAATGCGTAGTTTTACAGATATAAGCTATTAAAGAAATTAAAAAGTAGGTCTTTTGTAATTATCTTAAATACAATTATTTTTTTTTTCAATTTGCTGTTGGTAGAACTGAAAATCAGAAAATTTGATAATATATTAGATTAAATAAATAATTTATTAATACTTTTTTAATTTTATTACTTGTGATTAATACAATTGCGTTTATCTCAAGGAGATCGAAATCGACAAAATATCAAAATACAACTTTTAATCGGCATTAAACAGCCTACACAATTTTGTTAACAGAAGAAAAAGTCAGTACATGTTTTTTTTTTTTGAAAAATGTTCCAATGATATCCCATATCCGCGTCCCTGGTGAATGTGTCGACACTGTTTTAGCATTAAAATATTATGTAGCGCTTATAGTAACTTTTACCCTCGAATTTTCATTAGAATCACTAATGGCACTTGGAAGAAAATTATAATAAATCGAAAAAAAAATAATATTTAACCAATTTAAAATACTATTTTTTTTTAAATTGGAAATGTCAAAAGTTGATTACCGCGTGAACCGCGTGTTACAATTTCAAATAAATCATATGCGAAAAGGTCAAGAGTTGACATATGATATGTCATTCTATTCAGAGTGTCATTTTCTATCAAATAAAGTAAAAAAATTGCAAGGGTGCCATTTTGCCTTTTGATTTTTAAATGGCACCCTCGGTATAATTTTGCTTTATACGATAGTATATGTTAACATATCATTTGTCAACTTTTGACATTTTGGCTTAAAAACAAATCGTATTTTAAATTTCAATCTAGAGTGCCATTGGCTGTATTTAAAAACAGTAATGTTTAATCAAGGAGCCTTTGAAAAATAGATTTGATCGTTTAATATCTTTGGTGTCTTGCCCTGGCCGGTTAAAAGATGCCTAAATCGTTTTTAATCATATCCATATCTCTGTTTTTTCAAATGGAACAAGGGTGGCTCATTAGTATGTTTAGAAAAAGTATTTTTTACAAATTATTTAGTACCACATACTTGCTATATCGAGTCAAATTGTTATGAACCGCATGTTACAATGTGAAATAAACCATATGCGAAAATCTCAAAAGTTGACATATGATATGTCACTCTAATGAGAGTGTCATTTACTAACAAATAAAGTAAATAAATACAGAGGGTGTTGTTTAAAAAACAAAAATTGTAGTCATTTCCGGTAAAACAGGAAGTAACCAAAAACAATTTAAATACGTCAATCAATCCTAATTTATGTCATTTACTAATATACCAAATCTCGTTCTTTTATCAGAAAAAATAAAAAAGTTATAGGGTGAGCCACTTTTGAGATGCACGCCGTATACAAGGTTGTGAGCATATTTTGTAGATAAGTAAAAAGTTCGTATACATGTATGTCCCGAAATGCTTAGTTTTGAAGATACAGGGTGTAGAAGTTTCATTTTTATTTCGATTTTTTCCAAATAATTTTTGAAGTAACGTCAATATTTAGATGAGAATTGGTGTCTTGAGCGAGCTTTTTGACATGAGAAATTTGATTTTGATGTCAATATGACTCCTACTTGTAGAGGGCGCCACCTACATTTGAAGGGGTGGCTGCTATAACCAGGCAGCTCCACTTTTTTTCGAAAATGAGATTTTTAATGAATTACCCTCTAAAAAAATTGGCTGATCGTTTCCTGCAACAATCAGTTCTCTCATTATAACAGTACATAAATGGCGACGTTAGTTGAAGCACAAAATTATTAAAATGGAGCTGATGCCTTGTTATAGCAGTCACCCCTTCATTTTTTTTATTACTTTTAAACTTTTTATTAAAAACTTCATTACCTTATACCCTTTATACATAAAAAAAGACATTTCTTATTACATTTTTAGTCAGACTTACTGATCATTTTAATTATAGTTAATCTTCAAATGTAACATTTAAAAAAAAAAAACTCTTCTTATTCAAATCTACGTCGGCGAGTTTTTCTCTGATCTGTAAATTACTTCCTTTTTATTTATGAAAAAAAAACGACGATATGAATCTTCTGAATGACACACCCATTCATACACTCCAAACAGTGAAAGTATATTTCGTCCGCTTGGTATATATAGTTTCCGCATTTAGAAGAAAGCATCAGTCAACGAACTGCATTAATTCAATCATTTTAGTTTCGTACACAGTCCACACTAGTGTACAATGAAGTTCTTAGTAAGTGAAAATTACTTTATTTAGTGCTCAGGTTAAAATAGTGCGTCGGAGAATGTTACTACAAAAGTGTTTTGTTATTATGTGGATTTATATTTAAATGATATTAAGTAAAATCAATTTTTGGTAACATATAATTTATTAATTATCATGTTAAAAAAAATATATATAACATTTAAAATATTATTTGATAGGTTTATAATTTATTTATTTTTTAATTATTCACTCTCTTGGTTAGAGTTGTTTTATTTTTTTTTATTCAAAATTAAATTACATTTTTATATATTATTACCCGATAAATTCTTTTTACTATCTATTTCCACATTTAATATCAAGACTTTATTAAGAATGAATTTTATTATAACAATTGATAGTTTTAACAGCTGATCTGAGTAATTAAATTAATGATAAAATAACACAAAAAGTATAATATCAAATTATAAAATTAAAGTAAATTATTACCAATTTATTACAAATTATTGAGAAAATTAAACAAAAAGCAAAAGAAATTGGAATTGTTACAATTTACTTTTACTACTCTTGCAGCGTTGTAAGCACTTTCACTTTTCACTATCTCTTACTGTAATCTCATCTTGTCAAAGATATCTAACTGAGAAGTTTTAATATACCCTCTAATAAAAATTATTGTCTATGAAATCATATAATTTCGAAAGATATATTCACCTATTCATTTCAAAATATTTTCCTAAAAATTATAGGTATTATTTTAAATTATTTTGGTTAGAAACATCTGTATTTTTTAAATACTTTAGGATTTTTTATTTTGCTTCTGCTATTTGAAACTTTTTATACAGGGTGGCCCAGAAATAAGTGCAGATATTTTAAGGGTTGGTAGATCTGGTCAAAAGAAACAACTTTTCTCTCTACAATTTTCAAAATAAATTGAAAATAACCGAGTAATTTACCTTTAAAAATTTAAAAAATAATGGCAACATTTTGAGAATCGCTGGCGATAACCGGCTTATTAAGTGTTTTTTTTTCAGTTTATTCAACCTCAGGTGAATAAAAAAGTGACACTAAAAAGTTTTTTAAAATTTCCCGAAAAATGTCAACAAAAATATAGAGTTTTCAATATTTTTATTCGCAAAATAACCTCATAGGCGTGTTTCTGGAGCCGAAATATACTACCAGTTAAAATATTTGCACTTATTTCTGGGACACTCTGTATAGTAACGTAATAAAAAATTGGAAAATATCCGCACTTTCTAAACTTTTTCATTTCAAAAATGCATCATGATACACAGTACATTGTAGAACGAAAAAAAGCCATCACACTGGACTTTTAAATGACAAATGTTGATCATTTCTACCAGACCGAGTTTTATATGTCATTTATCTAAAACTGAGAAAAATCGTAAAAAAATAATATTTTATCACCTAATTTAGAAAAAAAGCTAAAAGTTAACATTAATTTTGAAAAGTTTTTATGTCAATTTTTAATAACTGACGTATATGGGTTAGCACAACAGAGATTATCAACCATTGTCATTTCAAACGCCACTGTGTCGCCGTTTTTTTTACATTTTTTCGGTACGTAAATAAAAGTTCCTACGAATGATATTATCTAATCTAAATATTACCATTGTTTATTATACAGGGTGAAAAAATTATAAATCTTGTAAGATTAGTTATTGAGATTTCGGTGTTTAAAATGCATTAACTTTTTTGAGAACTAATATTTTTGACTTTCTCTTAGTCAACATTTTTTTAAACCTATATTCTTCGTCAAATATTACGATATGTATAATCTTCCTCGTAGGTACATAGTATTTATTTTTGTCTAACCATGTCACCAACTATTTTTGGCTTTTAAATTTTCACCCTGTATATAATAAAATATATAGAAGATATAATTAACTAATTTGCTTAATTCTTTCAGGCTTGTGTATCAGCTTTGTGCGTTTTTGTTACCGTAAATGCCAGCTTCGAAGGCAGTTACGGAGATCACGGTGGTCACGGTGGTGGACACGAGCTCTCCCATACCGTAGAAGTAACCAAACACGTGCCAATCCCAGTCTACAAACACGAAACAGTACCAGTACCACACGCAGTCCCCGTACCCGTACCCAAACCAGTAGCCATACCAGTACCACAACCCTATCCCGTCCACATCAACGTACCCCAACCCGTTGCAGTGCCAGTGATCAAGACCATCACCATCCCTGTCGAGAAACCAGTACCCTACAAAGTAGAGAAGGAAGTACCGTACCACGTAGAAAAACCCATCCCCGTTCCAGTAGAGAAGCACGTACCAATCAAGATCACCAAACCAGTACCTGTCAAAGTTCCGGTATACAAGGTCGTGTACCACCATAGTAAACACTAATTCTTTTTCAAAGAAGACGCAAGGCTGATATTTCATTTTCCTCATCTAATTCATAGTCATGAATCATTGTTAGGTAGTTGTTGTTATTTCTTTGTTGTTGATTTTTTTAATAAAATAATATAAAACTGAAAATTTCTTGTTTTCATTGAGATTAAGCAGAGATGGTAGATTTTCGAATTACTGCATAAATACTTAGTCTAGAAAATGCCATAAAACATAAATATTAATAATAATTGACTCTAAAATATTACTTTATTACTATTCATTTTTAATACATACATAATTCAGTTATTATACCTTCTTATACCTAGATTATTAACATTTTGTATGTTTACTCTTCAAAGTTCTGTTTTTAAATATAAATCTTGTAAAGAAACAAATACAAATAGAAAAAACAAAATATAATACCACAGAAACAATTCCAAAGAAATGTTTAGATTTCAATCCTGGAATGGTACACTAGAATTGTATACTAATGAAATAAATTAAGAGATCCCAACAAGTGGCCAACTTGTACATAATAATTTTCAACTTATCTCTTTATGGCAAAATGTAACAAATGTTCCAACTGAAACATACGAACACAAAGACATGCATGTACTTCATACATTTTCTATATCTATATCCAAACCTGTAGCAGTATTAGTACCAATACCACAACCTTTATCCCGTCCACATCAACGTACCCCAACTCGTTGCAGTGCCAGTGATCAAGACCACACCAAACCAGTGCCCTTCAAAGTAGAGAAGTACCGTACCACGTAAAAAACACATCCCTGTCCCAGTAAAGCAGCACGTACCAATCAAGATCACCAAACCAGTATTAGTACCAAATCTAAAAACAATTTCTAGGTCAAAGTTCCGGTTACAGGTTATGCAAGTTAATGATATTATTTTTTTAAATTGCTATTAGATTTGAATCCAGACAAATTAATAAAACTGCGTTTATCTCATAAAGGAGGCCGACATCAACAAAATATCCTGAGACAACTTTTAATCGGCATTAAGTTGCTTACACTCCTTACACTATTTCGATAACAAGAGAAAAAAAGTCAGTGGCGTACATGCATTTTTTTAGGAAAATATTCCATTGATAAACCATATACACTATAAACCATACACAACTAGCAATAGTCCCTGGTGAATATGTTGACAATTTTTAAGCTTTAAAATATGTCGCAGTTATAGTAACTTTCACCCTCAAAATTTCATTCGAAACGCTAAAAGTACTTAGAAGAGAATTATAAAAAATCGAAAAAATATTAAGACTTCAACACCCTGTAGCTACAAAATAAAGCAGAATCGGACCTATGTTGATATGAAAAATAAATCTTATTTTTACGTGAGGAATATCCCCACGAGAGATGGTACATCTTTTTTGAGACACTCTGTATATCATTAGGCATAAATAAATAAAAGTAATAATTGCAAATATATTTTGCATGATTTTTTCTAAATTGTATAAATCCAATTCTGCCTACATTTCAATCTTAACACTATGATGTTTACTTCTATAAAAACAGAACTAAGTTCTGTTTTTAACAATAAACTTCGTAAAGAAACAAATATAAGTAGAATGCACCAAATACACCCACCAGAAACAATTCCAAACAAATATTAGATTCCGATCATGGAATAAATTATTTTAGGTTACATTTCAATTTAAAAAATTTAAATGATTTATTACCTATCAACATTTATAGTGATAGTATCAATATTAGACATCTTTATTTCTATAATTATTATTATTACTTGGCGCTAGCGCGCCAGAATACTATTCAGGAATAATCTACTATTTCGATTAGTAGGTAAATCTCAACAGGCCGCTCAGCACAAACTATTTTAATTAATATCGATGGTATACTCTGCTGCTTGCATATCAACTCTACAGCTCCTGGGCCGCGTACAAAATGCATGTTTAAAGCAAGCTCTTGGAGCTTTTTACACAAGCCCCGCAACTAGTCTATGTACTGAAGTGGGAATAGAGCCCCTTAATATAGAAGGAGGAAGTAAGCGCAATCATATACCTCACTTCGGCATAGGCAAAGCCTAGCCATATAGTGAGAGAAACAATCTCAACAAGCAAATATAGTTCCCAGTCCTTTTTAAAATGTCACTGCCCCTAAAGTATAGTTCCTAGGCCCACTCTGCCACTTAAAATGTTACTCTATAAGGAATAGTCACTTTGAAGTATATTTTGAGAGTGACCGGTTAGTCCCTACTTGTAAAGAAATTCCATAAATTCCTTCCCCATAAAAGTGGAAAATAAACACTCCGATTGCAAATCGCAAACGTGTAATTTAAAGAAGTGGCTGGAACTACCCGAATCTTCGAATATGACACCATAAAATACCAAAAACTTTACAGTAACTTTTCAAAGTAGGGGTTACCAACAAGAGATACCATAATGCCTCCATTAAGTTTTTGTTACTTTATAGTAAAAATTTAAGGTTACGGGGTAGTCGCGGCCACGACACCTAGGTACTTCTAATTTATAGTAGCATTGAAAGTAGCAAAATAGTTACTGCTACCTTCCTAGGTCACTATAAAGTAGCTGTCGCTCATCCATTGCCACTAAAAAGTCACGGGGGTCAAAAACGGCTACTTTATAGTGACCGTAACTTAATATACCCTAAAAAATGTAATTGCCTCAGATTGCATCATGTGCTGATCTGTTTTAGTGTTTTTTTTCTTGCTTTTAAGCTTTATTAAAATTTTGTAAAATCCCTAAGGTGAATAAAAAGAAATTTAGATATTCTAGTACTTTTTACCGAAGAATTAAACAAAAAGAATCACTGCGAGCCGATGCATCAACATCAGAAACAAAAACTACATCTTTCTATAGTCCTACTGATGAACATCATAAATCAGGTAGTGATTGAGACATTTTTGAAGCTGTTTCTGTAGATGAGTGTAGTGCTAGTTCATCTGAAACTTAATCTCAGAGGAGAACTAATTTGAGAACCAACAACAATATAAAAGAAGAGCTAAAAGAGTGGGCGTTAAAATACTCTATACTCGCATTTTCTATTATTAGAAACACTAATAATAGAAAATGCACAATAAGTAAAAATTAACTTCAAAAGACAAGGCGGAACGTTATAGTGGCACCAATGGAATGTATAGTCGCCACCATCGCGATCGGTGTAGCAACGCTCCAATTAAATGGCAATTTGGTGGCGCAGGGAACTTTCTTGGAAAAATCACTTTATGGTTCCAAAGAATCGTTGACCATGTAGTTCCAAAAAAGTTATTATTTTTATAAAGTCGCTTTTGGATAGCTACAATTGTCACTTTATCAATCCGAAGATTTTAAAGGTCCAAACGGGTAGGGTTGGCCTAATATATTATTGTTCCCGGTACTGTGTAGAAGCATATGGAACTATAAAGTATTTTTCGGATTAAACGGCCATATTTTTTTCATGAATTTTTTGATGAACAGCCAAATGGTTCAAACATTATGCGTTTTTAAGCTAAATATACCTAGATTAAAGCTTTTTTCCTTAGTTATTTTGTTATTTCTGACGGTGGACTAATATTTTAAAGTTTGACCCCCGTTTCAAGCAAATTATTATTATTTTTAAAGCCATGGAGAATTTTCATAGAATAGAAGATTCAGAGATTTCATATAATAATTTGAAATATTTTGAGAGGCGCTCGAAAATTTTGTTATATAAACCCACTATTTTATTCAGTAAAGTTGATTGTGTTCTGGAATTTACCTAAAAAAGGGGTTAAAATGGCACGGTAAATAACAAATAACGAAAAAATAAAAATGGCTCCTATAATTATTTTCCATCATGACATTTATTTTTATGAAATATGAAATTGCATGAAGAGGTCGCTGCGAATAAAGTTCAACAGTTTAACGAAAGTTCCACATGTCGGTGGCTAACACTTCGCTGCCACGAACCCGCGTCTAGGCACCTTCGTAACGGATAAGTCGCATTCACCAGTAGGCTACTTTATAGTAACACATCATAGTAACTCTTTTAGTGGCAAAAACTACCCAAGACACTACCCGGCTACTCAAAATCTTTCCCCATTTTGGTCGCAGTTATTTATACGAATATACGACGTAGCCGCCGATGGTCACCGCCCACGTTGTAGTGGCTTTGATAGTAGCAGTTATGTGTCTGCCACTATAATTGCTAGTTGGGATGCTATCCCGTCATATGGAAGAATATCTGCCTATGAAAATTAATGAAGTCCCTTATGAAAATCCTCCATGGCTAATACCTGAAACTGAAGTAATATTAGACCTTAATAAACTCAATGAAAAAATAATTTATACTGCCCAAGCAACACAGATAGTAGCAGGTACGTTCCTGGAACTACAAAAGCGACCATCAAGTAGACTGCCACTATCGACGGCTACGCTGCCGCCACGTAACTGTTACTAAATTGGGGAAGAATTTAGGGTAACTGGGTAGTATACCGGATGATCCCAGGGACTAACGCTGCCATTATATTTCGTAACTATAAAGTGAAAGGGTAGTAGCGGCCACTATCCTGCTACGTAGCGGCCTGGTCGCCCCTACGTAGCCGCCTGGTAACTGCTACTATATAGTAGCAAAACATTCTTCTAGCGACCTCTACTTTAAAAAAACGTTTTGAAATAAAATAATAATATGATATGACAGCCGCAAGGAATATTTCCCAAACCCGAAAAATTAATTTTATTCCATTTTTTTTGCTTATAGTGTGATTTGATTGTATTGGTTTCACTCTTTTGGTTGGATTGGTTTTAGTTATTTGGCGAGACGGTAAAATGTTTAAAAAAAATGGATTTTTTAATTTTTAATTAATCATATTCTGGACTGAAATTTTTTAGACAACCCATTTAAAATATATTCATTAAGATATTTCATTTGATATAAAATATTTTTCATCCACTAACCAGTTCGGTGAAAGTCGTTTAGTACTCGGATCCTTTACTATAAAAAATTCTGTAGAGAAACGTAAATCTGAAAAATTTTATATGAAAAATTCTTCTCATTTAAAAAAAAGCAATCTCTAGAGCATATGCCCTGTATATGTAAGTATAGGTAATTAATGCGATAATGCCTATATTTATTATGATCGTAGTTAAAGCATACATAATTAGAAATATTATGTTT